ATGACACTAGAGCTAGGTGGCATGGTGAGGTTGATGAGGAGATGGTGCCCGGTTGGCATGCATCTGATTTCATGTGTTGGTTACGTGAAGCCTCTAGAAGTGAGGACCACTTAACATCTTACTCTAGTCAGAGAGTAGATAGTTAGTCTTTGGATCCTGAGGTTGAGGATGGTGGTGTGGATTAGCGTGATGTTCAGGATGATGTCTTGGTGTTGGAGTTCCTACGGACCAGTATGGTGCCAGACACAATGGGTGCCAAGGAGCGAGATCGTGTTCTCCAGCGGGCGAAGACATACCGATTGGAGGGATCACATGTTCTCCGAGTGTGGGAGGACGGTAGGGTACGAGTAGTACCCCATCCATCTCACAGAGCACGCATTGTGAGGCATGCTCATGAGGAGTTGGGACATTTTGGAGTGAAGCGTACGTACAACTTACTCCTTGGTCAATATTGGTGGTGTGATATGCATACGCAGGTACAGCAGTTGGTATCACGTTGCATGGTTTGTGATCGAGTGAGGACATCGTTGAATGCCCCGACACCATAGTTACATCCCTTATCTATCATGGGATTGGGTTACCGTTGGAGTTTAGACTTTGCTGGACCACTGCCTTTGATTATACGACATCATCGGTATGTGTGATGATGGTGAAGCATTTCTCCAAGTGGATTGAGTTGGTGGCATTACCTGACAAGGCGAGTGAGGGAGTAGCGTATGCTTTTCTTGACATGGTGCTTAGTCACTTTGGTGCACCAGCTGAGGTGTTGACCGATCAAGGGACAGAGTTCCAAGGTGAGTTTCTGGTCTTGTGTGACAAGACGCTGATTGATCACCAGACTACTTTCCGAGATCATCCAGAGGCGGATGGTTTGGCTGATGGTTTGGCTGAGCGGGTTGTACTGCAACCTCCGGGCTGACTCTCACTCAGGTTTACCTCTGATGGCTTTGCGGTAGCGCATCATGGTTCTAGAAGACTAGGATTCATCCTCACACTAATGTCCCAAACACCTTCTCTCACAAACTCTCCATGTATCACTCCAACTCACACACAAACTCTCCTCACATCACTCTCTTCACACAAACGCAAACACACGTCGATACTCCAAGATACTCAAAAACTTCACTCCTTCATTCCTGAAACAAGTCCTCACACATGACTCTCCAAACTTGCTTGAGAGGTGCTACTCTACCTCTCTATTTATACTACTTGAGAAGTTACCATAGTAACATGTGGTAATTTCTCCTAACTTACTTTTACCTAGGTAAGTTTGACTAACCCCCTATATGTGGCAACATGCCATTGGCCTACCTAAAACTTCTAGAAGCTTCCGGAATCCAAGGTTGAGGTGGCGACATGCCATTGGAAGCTTTTAAACTTCTACAAGCTTCCTAGCCACTAAGTCAACATTAGACTTAGTCTAGCCAATCATCTTTCATACATTTAGTTAAACCAATCAAATCCAAGCTTCTAGTCAAATATCTAATCCTTTGGAATCTAGAACTTTTGTATAAGACAAAATAGAAGTGCTCACTCCTTATAAAAGACAAAATAGAAGTGCTCACTCCATTCTTCTAGAACTCCGCTAATTATTCCGCCAACTATAGACATGGTAGCTAAACTTAGTCATGACTAGATAAATTTAGTTATAACTAATAAGTTTAGTCATAACTAGCTAGTCTTAGCTATGCCTTGGCTAATCATCCTTAATCACTTGACCAGTTTTAAGACCTAGTACATATGTGCAACACCCGGTCTTACAGTACAGACGGCGAAGAGAGCGTTGCGCAAGTATGACCTACAGAAGGGGCATCTTGGGGACTAGGATTTTCAGTTACCATGGTTGGCCATGGGATATCGATTCAGTCGTCAAGCATCCTTGGCTTCGTTTTCACCATATTTTCTATTGTACGGCCGAGATCCAGACTTGCCTGCAGCGATTCGTCGTGAATCTAGCGAGGTGGTGAACCTTGATGATCCAGATATGTGGATGAGAGTGTGTTCTCAACGTGCAGTGCTCTTTCGAAAAGTTATGCCTGCAGCCTTTAAGAACCTTGTGATTGCTCAGCACATGGGTACGTTGTGGTATGCAACTATTCGAGGAGGAGGTCATTGACCATCAATTCGTAGGTTCCGTGCGAGAGATTACGTCTATTTACAGCAGACTGCACCGACTATGTTGGATGTGATGGCAGGACGCATTATCTTGCTAGTGCGAGAGGTGTTACTTTTTGGAGTGCTCATGTTGAAGGGTCGTGACGATGTCGTTTTGAAGGATCATGTGCGCAACTGTGCACCATGCCACTTTCCAAACGTGGATGGTACTATGGACTCAAGCCTGGCGATTGTACGTGCCGGCTTGAGGTGCATGTTATGTGGGTCAGCTAATCAGGCGGCCAACATGTTGGTGTGTGATAGGTGTTCTAGGGGATGGCACATATTGTGCCTGACTCCACCTATCGACGTTGTTCCTACTGAAAGGTGGGTTTGTCCTCGATGTACTTCAGAGGGTAGATGACTTGATCTTCACATGTTATGAATTGCAGATAGGCGACTAATGATGGGGCTACATAGCACCCGGCCTATTGGTTCGCGCACCCATTAAGGTGCATAGCATGTAGTTGTAGATAGGGCTACCTGGGAGTTAAAGGGACCTGACCGCTAGCTAGAAGGCAAGTTGTGATACCTTTGTGTGTGTACACTCTCGTTACTTATGTATGTATGTGTGAGTTGTGAGTAGAGCATGTCAGCGATGTATGATAAATGGCGATACCGAGTTGCACGACAGCTTTCACGTGTGTGCACGTTGAATTTAGATTTGAGTCGGAGGCACGTTGTAGGATCGGCTAACGTTGAGACGCGAGTTACGTTAGAATTGAGTCGACACTTTTCAGGTTATATTGAAGGCGAGCTCGAAGAACTGTTAGTTCTTCGAGTTGAGCCTTAGGCGTCAGGATTCTTCCCATTAGCTTCGACTCTTATCCTACTTTAGTGTAGTGAGTTTGGCTCGACTCGTGTACCTTGTGTTTCGACGATTATATTATTATCTTTTTAGTTGTGATAACTTTGTGAGTGTACACTCTCGTTCCTTATGTATGTATGTGTGAGTTGTGAGTAGAGCATGTCAGCGATGTATGATGTATAGCGATACCGACATATTTTCATATTTTCTTGTTGGTTTTGTTTTGAATGTCTATAATCATGTATTTTGATTTGAAAGTCATATGAAAATGATAAATAACACTATGTGAAAAATCAAAACCGATAAAAAAAACTCTTTGCCAGCATTCATGTTACAATTTTAAAATATTGTAACCTATAAAAAAATGAATATTTTTTCTTGAGTATTATTTTTTATTATAGATATTATTATGGTATAATATTAAAAAGTACACAAAAAATTGGTAATCATTAATTTGACATAATTCTTAAATCTACTTCTGATGAAAATGTAATTCCAAGGCCTTGCACTGCCAAGGACTGTGCGCAACAACGGTGAATTTGACTTCAGGTCTAAGGTGGAAGTCAAATAGCCAGTAACACTCTCCTACGCAAAAGGTTTTACTTTTAAAAACATTTGACTAATCAGATAAGGGAAGGGACATATCGAATATCAGGTTCAACCAAGTCCAAGGATCCGGATGCCATGAGTCAATAGAATAAGTTATATATATATATATATATATATAGAGGTTAAGAGGATCTTTGGATTTCACATAATATGCCACAAGCCTCCGGTCTTAAGAGGTTGCGGAAATGCAACATGTTCGCGGTCTTTGAGACCGCGAACAAAGATGAGCTCAAGGACGCTTGACTTTATTCTCTCCCACTAGATCTCACATGGTCGTGCAAAATATAATACGAAAGATACATATATTTTTACATAATAATACATGTAAAAATGTTGAAATTTTGTATGCATATTTCAAATATTCGTCCGACATGAATTGTAAATTTCAAATGTATAAAAAATGCACATATAAAGCATACTGTAGTATTTAGAAAAGTTACTCTTCACTTATATGAGGACTTTGATGTTTATCATAAAGTGATGATTAACGAAGTCTAAAATGTTGCAAACATGTAGGAAGCTAAAATTGGAAAGAAAATTGGAAATATTTAAAAATTTGTGGTTAAGAAAAAATTTTAAAAAGGAAAATATTAAAGAGGTAAATTTACAATCATTATCAAAATAAATGCAAATTGCTATTAATTCTTCTAGCCTCCTCACTGAGGCAATTTCAATTTGTTAACTTCGGTAAAAACTATGTAGAAGTTAAGCAAAAGAAATATGGAGAATACTCTAGCATTCAATTTCTTTCGTCACCAAGCACGGTCAACGAGAAAGTTTCTAAATATATTTTAGAAAACATTTCGTCACTGTGTCATACAATGCTTGGAGCAGATTTAGTGTTTAGAATGTTTAAAGCAAGTGACAATGACCACACCGACCGGATTGGTTTTTGTGATCTCAGTAGAATTCTTGGAAGTCTTGGTATATAGTGAACAGTTTTCTTTTGAAGTCTTCTAATTTTGACAGCAAAACAGATTTTTTTTTTCCAAAATTAAAAGATTTGAAGAAGGATTACGTCTATTTGAATTTATTTTCCATATATGTTACAAAAGGGTGAAAATGGAGAATAATTTATGACAAGACACATAAACATGACATGACATGAGAGTTATTGGAGTAAGAAGTTTGATGACTTTTGGGATAATATCAATGATCTTTCCAATGCATGTTGTTGGCCTTATAGATAACTCATAATAGATCATAGATAAAATATTCAAATTGAAAGAGTGAACGCGGTTGTTACAATAGGGGAGGAGATTCATTCAACTGCGTTCTATATAGCGAAGAGCAATTAAGTACATCGAATACTATACTATATTATGATGTAGTATGATGTTCGGCGTTTAGCGGGGACATACAAAACGAGGTTTTGAGGCATTTAGGAACAGGTTTCCGATGGACAGACTTGACAACGTCGTTGGTCGTGGGCCAGCGTCAAAGCTGAGAATGAAGAAGATACGGAAAAAGGCTAAGACTCCGTGAGTGCAGCAGATTGGCGCGAAAGGAAAAAATGGCGGGACTCTCCCGCCTGTCACTTCTCCCGAATTCCGCGGTCGACGAACTCCTCTCTCTCTTGCTTCTCGCGGATTTCGAAATTTTCTCAGTCACCACAGCGAGAGCGAGGCGCTTTGGTTGCGAAGGTCAGAAGTCCGGTCGAGGGTTTAGACAATTGCACGAGATTTGGAAGAAGCTTGTGGCAAGTAGTCTCTTTGCGTCTGGAATTGGAGGCTGAGGGTACGCCTTGCGATGAATTCATAGTTCAAGTTTCATTTTTTAAAAATCTGGAGCTCGTCCAGAGGCGTACGGCGTCGGAGCGATGTCTGTCTCCGCGAAGCATCCGAAGTTCACGGAGGCGCACGGGAAAGGGCCTCGAGCATGCATTCTGTGGGATAATCAGGGTCAAGATATCATAACTGCGGGTGCTGATGCGCGACTTCTTATTCATAAATCCGGCGGGGAATCCTTGACTCCAAGCGTTCTGCATCAAAAAGCCGTCACTTCCCTGGCATTGTCTCCGAATGGCCTTCTTTTGGCATCAGCTTCGCTTGATCACTCTGTCAAGCTTTATTCATATCCAGGTATGCACACAGAGCAGTGTTTAGCTTCCGCTCCCAAACTGATGATTCGGGGAGCATTCAAGTCAGGATTGAATGGCATTAGAAGAAAAGGATGGACTTCACATCTTTTATAACAAACCCACCCCACCCCACTTCACCTGGTCTCGTTGTCATCTCGTCGAGGTTTGGTTCATAAGGATGAAATGATCGTATGTGAGCTGTGCGATTGATAGTCTGCAAATTCTCACTAACACTGTCACGTGGCGTTTGGCAGGTGCCACATTTCAGAACAATGTGACAAGATTTAGCTTGCCAATTCGTGCTCTTGCGTTCAGCGTCACTGGCGGACTGCTTGCAGCAGCAGGGGACGATGATGGTATTAAGCTCATCAGTACGGTGGACAATTCTATAGTTCGGGTGATGAAGGGGCACGATGGGCCCGTTGTTAGTCTTGCATTCGACCCGAAAAATGAATTTCTTGCATCTGTTGACACAGATGGCACGGTCATATATTGGTCTTTAGACACAGGGGCGAAAGTTCACACACTCAAGCATGCTGCCCCCGACGTGGATCTTGAAGACCCGTGCGTGAATCAGATAGCATGGCATCCAAGTGGTGATGTTCTGGCTGTCCCGGGCCATCAGTTTGACGTCGTCATGTATGACAGAGATACAGCCGAAGTGCACTTTCGAATGAGGGGTGGTCACAATACGTCTATCGGATTCCTGGCTTGGTCTCCGAATGGGAAATACCTCGCTACCACAGGTGAAGACAGGAAGGTTATGCTCTGGGACGCCGAGAAAAAGATAGACCTGGATAGACTGAAAGTTCTCTCACAGGTGTGTGCCTTAGCATGGAAGCCTACAGGGAATTCTCTGGCACTTATTGATGTCGAAGGAAGGTATGGTGTGTGGAACGATGCCATTCCAAGTCATCTAGCTTCTCCGTGTGATTTAGAGCAGGTGAGTTCATTAGTCACTAGGCAAGAGCTCCTGCATTTCAGTGATGATGAAGCCGAAGAGAAAGCAAGTGCGTCGGACAGTGAAGATGAGATTATTGGAGCTGAGGTGGATCTGATGGACGACGAGAGCGATGAAGAAGAATCTATGTTGAGAAAGGAATTTGGAGATTCAAAGGCATCCAACGGGTTAACTCGTAAGGTATCTCAGGGCAAGGATTCAGCTTCAGTGAAGGTGAAAGAGGGCAGGATTGATTCTCTTAACGACACAGTACCTCGGCAGCATTCTAGCCACAAACCGATGCCGGAGAAGCAGCCTGCCTTTCAACCTGGAGTTACTCAACAGACGGTTGGGACGAGAAGATTTTTGGCATACAACTTACTGGGCTGCATCATCACGTCTGAGGGTGACGGTGTAAATCACGTTGAGGTGGGTGGTCTTGCTTTCTATTGGAATGTCACTAGTTCACTTTTCGGACTGGATAAGCCAGCATGCCTTCGTTCCTCTGTTGTACGTTACGTGACGAAAGTCTCCATGAAACTGAATTAGTAGCTTGGGTATGATCAGTCGATGATGATTTGTTGCGTATGGCACGTGCTAGAAGCCTTCGTCTATTATTTAGGCCCCTCTCCAGTCCTGCTTGTCTAAGCATCGTTCTTGATGTCGACGATTGTGACATTGCTAAATTCTTCCCGCACTGTTGTACCTTTCATTAAGTTTGGACTTATCTTGTGTTTTCAGCCTTTGAGGACTGTTCCATCATCTGTGTGCTCACACCCTCGTCAGTTTTAATTTAGTGACCTATCTTCGACGTGTATTTTATGCATTGCCTGTTCGGCTAGTAAATTCCGACTTCAACTTCTTTGCTCTATAAATCGCAATTACATTTGATATAGAAGAGGCTGCAGACCCTTTTTTTCACCCAGCAACTTAGAGGTATTACTTAGTTATGCCTCATACACCTTGACTTATCTAATATTCGATCGCAGTTTTAGACTTACGGCGCCCACTTTCGCCTCGAGTCAGTCTCAAATGCACCCATCGCTTGCCTGAGAACCAGACAACTGGAATTCTCATTTCTGATTCTGTACAACTCTGTTTTCATGCTTGATTCGTCGGTCTAGTTGGCTAGGATAGTTGGCTCTCACCCGAGTAACCCGGGTGTAAGTCCTGGCTACAGATTTCGGGTTCACTTAAATCACCCGGAAGGGTACAATTCCGTTGCGAAAATTGTGCCCTCCCTGTCCTTCACCTGTCCTTTCTGCATTTGAATGCCTGATCGGGGTTCGCATCGTGCTTTCTGTCCAAAAAGTCTCTTTCTCTATTGTATTTTCTAAATACAGGATTCCTTCTTTCCTTTTCCCCGCAGTGGATGGTTCACGAGGGCTTCCTCTAGTAATGAAGGACGTTCATTTGGCGCCCGTGCGCGGGACATAATTCTTGGCTGAGTCCCTTGCCTTTCTGTAGCGCCCGCCTTTGTTCATCTCTAGGTAGTATTTCCATGTCGAGGAACGTGTGCGTGGTTGTCCAAGCATGGAGCAGTTGCCATTACCGTAAAGTCGGAAGCTCACTATTACTTCAGCATTGTCGTGAACAACATGGGTCGCGTAGCGCAGCGGATTAGCGCGTCAGACTTCGGATCTGAAGGTCGGGGGTTCGAATCCCCCCGTGATCGGCGTTATTGTGAAACTCTGAAGCAGGATATCACCATTTTGCCAGCATCGTCGGATGGAGTGATCCATATCTCCTGGAATTGACACCCCCTGGTGGTATTGTTCGAATCCCCCGTGATCGGCGTTATCGTGAAACTTTGAAGCAGGATGTCATCATTTTGCCAGCATCGTCGAATGGAGTGATCCATATCTCCTGGAATTGACACCCCCCTGGTGGTATTGTGCGAGGATGAGAGAGTTTGAAGAAGGTCCTCCCCATTTTGCCAGCATCGTCGGATGGGGTGATCCATGTCTCCTGGAATTGACACCCCCCTTGTATTGTGCGAGGATGAGAGTTATTTATGTTCACTCCTCTTTCTTGTTGTCGAAGTTGTCAATCACGAAGGATGGGTGTAAGGCGCTATTCAATCCCTCACAGAGACTTTCGCGAGAGAATCTTGCCTATCGGATGGTACCTGATAGTTGTAATAGCGACCCAGTTCGATCCACTGTAGGATCACAACTGGGTTTGCTGAATTTTATCAACTTCTAGTCCGCGAACATTAACCTGAAGAACCAAATCGCAATCATGTGGATTCCTTTTGTTTAGCTGTCGTTTAGCGAGAGTCGATGAGGTTGAGTTTCCCATTTTTTTCGGGAACTGTCACCTGTAGTGAGCGTCTGTAGTTCCGCCAAAGTTCAGCTTTGGCATATCTAACATGGTCTCTTTTTCACCAGTTTAGCTATCAGCAGTTTATTCAACTGTTGGTGTTGGTTCCGAGAAAATTTGGCTGTAGACAGCAGTGCACAGTGTTAACTTCTAACCATGAACAACTCACCCTTCAGTAGGCATTTTGCTATCGCGTAATGCTAGTAGAGTTCTGTCTTCTTACTTGGCACTTGGCCCTGTGCACAATCTATCCCAATAATTTCACTTACCCTCAGTCAGGAAGGAGTATTGCCTTACTCTTGACGGATATGGTGACTCCGGATCCGAATCCCAAGATTTTCGCCAAATTCCTAGTTCTAATGTCTCTACTTTTACCTCACATGTGCAGTCGAACGTTTGAGTACATAGTCGTGATTTGTATCTCTTCTCTTCAGGAATACTTGTCGAGTAGCTTCCAAATAAATCCCATAAAGACTCGACCACATGTACCCACAGTTCAATTTTACACTCTGGCAATGGATCTATTGTTTATTTGGTCTAATTATTGCTCAATACACCAGGTTGAATTTCATGATACTAGTCGAGGTCATCGAATTGCGCCTCTGGCGGATTATTTCGGGTTTACTATGGCAGCCCTTGGTGAAAAGGGAAGCGTCCTTGCCAACCCGCAGAGAGACAAGACACCGAGTACTCTTATCTATCGCCCCTTTGCCAGCTGGGCGAGCAACAGCGAGGTTTGCTTCTGACTTTGAAAGACAATAGAGTTGTTGTATTGGAAGGATCCGAAGTAATTCAGCATACGTCTGGAGATGGTCGCTCGAACATCTGATTACCACTTTTGACGAAGAAAGGTTTCTCTCGGTTGTCTTGAACATACCAGTGGTCAATGCGCTTTACCCCAGCCGAAGAAGTTAAGGCTGTAGCCGTCGGGGATGGATGGGTTGCCGCCGCGACAAGCTTGGATTATCTTCGGATATATACTGAATCTGGTCGACAGGTACTGACCTTAACTGTCGAGCAGTTTGCTCCGTGGTAGGGTCTATAATAGCCAGCATATCATCAAAATTACAACAAGCCTTTTCAAGCTTTTTCCTCATGACTCTTACGCATCACCATGTTTCTTTGTCTTGCTTTTTCCAATTGTGTATGCTCTTACATGGACTTTGCAGAAACACCTGTTCTCTTTGACAGGTCCAGTCGTGGCTATGACAAGTTATCAACAGCATCTTGCGGTTGTAACTCATGCATCAGATCCTATGGAGTCAGGTCAGCAGGTATCTTCCTATCCAGGATATGTGGCTCACATGCTCTATGCTGGTTGATAGGAGATAAATGATGTCATAGAACTCACCAGAAATATCAAAACCGCATGACGTCTATATACTTCAGACTGGGCACACGTAATAACTTTTACTGTATCCATTCACGTAGGTGATGAAATACATCGTACTAGACTTGCGCACCAATCAGCAATTGCTGACTGGCCCTCTTGCTATCACACCTGGAGCTACTCTAACGTGGTTGGGGTTCAGTGAGAGTGGATCTCTCAGCTCCTTCGACTCAAAGGTGAGAACACGCCTTATCAGAAGTTGATTTGATTTGTTCGTAATTCTTCCTGTGTGGTCAGTATTCTCTGAAGGGTAATTGATATCGATTCTTTTTTCATGCAGGGCGTACTGCGGATTTTGAGTAGGACCTTTGGTGGGTGCTGGGTTCCTATCTATAGGTAATGTCCGAAGTGCTTTACTTTTGAAAAGGCATCTGATACGTCTTAATCAACACTAAGAAACACATGCGTCAAAGTGGGGACTTGAATTTCGCGATTTGAGGCGAATGTGAACTAAGTCTGCTTGTTTCGGGCGATATTAATTCTCTTCGTACTACGGCTGTCTACGGGGACCGTTCATAAAGTGTTCCTGCAGAGCAACAGAGCAATGGTGACACAACTTGGATGGTCGGACTAAATGAAACACAAATTTTTTGCATCAAATGCAAAGTACCTGAACTTCAACCTCAAGTAAGTCTTTTTTAGAATCTCCTGCGTTGGACTTCAATTTGTTCCTTCAATGTGCTCTCTTTGAGCAAGAAGTTCATGCCGAAATAAAAACCATGCTGTACACCAGGCATGGAACATGAACCTTACTTGCTTTCTCCATTTCGTTTCCATTTTGCAGGTCCATCCGAAACCTGTTCTGAGTATTTTAAGCCCCATGCTGCCTCTCGCACATTCCGATCTTGGAGCGACGGAATTGGAAAACGACCTTTTGTGCAAGTCATTCCTCCTTGAAGAGGTAGGACGGCCTTGGATTTTTAGGTTGGAAGCTGTTGTTTTACTCTGAATTGGTGCAAAATTTCGATATTTGTTGGTAAGCGAGCTGACTAGGGACGGCTGCTTCAGACGAGGCTACGAGCGGACGAAGCAGCTGATAGAGGAGAAAAAGATGACGACGACGACGAAGAAAAAATCTTGAGAACAGAAGCTGAACAAGACCGATGCCTGCTGCGTTTGATAGCTGCTTGCTGTCATGGTATCATTCTGAACTAGCTTAAACGCCTTGAGCAGATCAATTTTTCGATTGCCGTTATGAACAAGGTCTCATCACTTACACCACCCACAGGTGACAAACTGGCGAGAGCTTTGGAACTTGCAAGCATGCTCTCATTACACAAGTCCTTGGAGGGTGCAATCAAACTGGTGACGGCCATGCGCTTGCCGACATTAGCAGAGCGCATGAACACATTGCTTGAGGTACGGCCACAGAAACCATGCTCCATCCTTTCAACTGTAAGCGATTAACAGGCTGACCTTTTCATCAATTGCTAGACATAACGTGGACATGGTTGATTAAACTTTCTCGTGCTAAATCTCTTCGCAGGAACGAAGAAAGGTCGAGAAAGCTGCTGCTGGCCCTCCGCCAACTAGAGAACCAGTATTTCCGAGATCTTCCCTTCTGCGGCTAGATGGACCTCTAAGTGGGCCCCAAGTACATAAGTTATCATCTCCAGCATTGCCCGCCAAACAAACTCTCCCTACAACCGAACCTTTTTTGGAGAACTCCAGAACCGTACCTGAAGCTTCCGTAAGATCCAGCGATGACAGTTCGGCACAAAAGGTAGTCTCTGTCCACACGAAAGCTAAGGAAGTGGAAAGGAGCAACTCGCAGCAAACACCGGGAGCGAGTGACGACGGGAGATGTCCTGAGGTTCCGTCTTCCAGCCCATTAGCCAAACCTGTCAACCCATTTGCCAAACCCAAGCAAGCAGAAGGCAGTTCCTTGGGGGATGGACTCTCAACGTTGACTGCCATAAAGAATTTGCAGGTACAAGGTGGCGGGAAAAGAAAGAACACTGCCGTAAAGGAAAAACGGTCTGATAAGAAACCTAGGAAGATACCCAAAGCTACCTAGTTGCCAGATTTCATATTGATGAATAGTCATTGTCTGCACAAAGTGCTTGTATATTCTAAGTAGACCTGATCAATATCAAGTCTTCGCACAAAGTGCTTGCATCTTCTGGTTGATTAGAACACCTCATGCACGTGGTAATGTCCAAAAAACTTCTTACGCACACGCGTTGGTCAATAAGGGTCGCGTTCAAATCAGGTTGATGTGTGCAGGATTTCGATCTCGAAGCGCACCTCAGCAAATCAGACAATCTAGAGCAGAACCCCGATGTCTACACGACGAATTATTTGGCAAAGGTCTGCATAGTTGATTATAGCCATGTTTCAGATTTGTCCGGGATAGCGAAGAAGAGAGGAAGAGCAATCTCAAAGAAACGAGATACTAATCAATCATATCTAACCAATTCTTTTGAATGAAGACAGGCGGCCGTTCTGACTGGGGAGTAAAAGTCGTTCTGAAAACTCATCTCACCGAGGAGTGCTGTAGCGAGGGCACGTGAATAGAATCTGCACTGTGTAGACATGAGGAACGTCCTCTGTCCTCTTCGGAGCACGTCAGGTGGATGACAAGTCAGATGATTCCGTCATCCTACCTACACCAAAATAAACTTGAGCTCACGATCATAAAGACGAGACGTTTTTACTAGGGAAAGACCATAGAATCCAGCTGCGTGACTCAAAAGAGGCTATAACAACACATGGGCGTGGAGTATTGACCGAAACAGCATCATCTAAATATAGTCAGAATCCAATATATTTTTTGGGTGTAAAGGCCTGCGGGGAAACGGATTGTCAAGGGAGGCATGCCGTATCGATATTCAATAAAATAATGTCGACTCATCTGGCAGGTCTAGATGAAACACCACCCTAAACCTCGGGTACACGAGTACTGCTGTGTCGAGGTAGAGCAGGTGCACTGTCACACGGCAAAGACGTGGCTATGTTCGTGCTGCAGTGGCAAACTAGGACACTTCATCGGTAAATCGATGACACAGGCATGAGAGAACCATTGTCTCTCTCAAAGGGGGATCTGACTTGCATACCTGCGGTCAAATAATCGTTGTTCTGAGCTCTGCACTGTCATACGAAGTCAACTGCTCACAACATCATGGTCATGTCTAATGCGAAGTTTCTCACCTTAAATATAATATTTGCGCTATACCATGATTTTCTGATCTTGCAGTCAGAAGGAATTGTGAACAGATTATACGAAATATAAACGCAAGAACTTTACACTTGTTGACAATTTGAATAGTTTCTGTCATTGCATGTGAAGATTCCTATGGAGAGTTACATGTAGAGGAATGATAACTCTTTTTTCCTTCACCAAAGTCAACTCAAGTGCTCTCCATACCACACGAAGAGAAATGCTGAAAGACTTTTGCGATTATGTCGGCGACATCGAGACGGTTTCTTCTTTTATTAGACGCTTCATGCTGAGTTTCATACAGCCGTTCTTACAAGAAGATTGGATAATTCCGTCGAAGCGTTTCATTCACTCGTGAGAGGACTTGCTTTAACGGCATAGGTTCAAATTTCACCCGAAATACACTGTAAGTAAGATTGCTGCTTTATCCGTTCATAATGATGTGAAGATTCTCCACCACCAAAGAAGGATTTCGACATTGAGATAGTATCTGACATATTTGAAGGCTAACCAATGCGAGCTCGCAAACTAATATCAGACTTTCCATAAAGTAAAATATGTGCTCGTGACGTACAATGGGACATGTGAAATAACATGACATGATAGCATTAAACGCCGATGCCTCCGATCGTGTCTATCTTATAAAAAATTAATGTCGAAGTACATTTGATCCTCCCTACAATCACTACTATTTACTATTCTCTGATCGGCCGTATGCGCAGCGCTGCCTGCTGTGGTCAGCCAGAACAAAGCCAGGAGGATTTAACGTCAAATTTTGGAGTGCCCTAATTCAAATTAGAAGCAATCATTAGCAGCACGACATGCTAAAGCTGAGCGCCGCTTAAACTGCTGAAGTTCCCCAAAGTTTATATTGCTGAAATTTTACATCGATTCGTGAGCAATAGTAGCGATCAGGACGTTCGGGTCAACTCCTCTGTGCTCTTCACCGACGGTAAAAGCTGATGGGAGAGATGAATTCCCCGACATTTGGCTTAAGGCAATCCAGTCAGGATCGCCCTGCAGCTTCCAGTTGTCAGGAACACGGAACTGTGCACAGTTCAGAGCCAGAGTAGAATTTTGTTTCTTCGCGAATCCAATTTGACACTCCCTGAATCGGGTCAAATAACGGTTCCAGGCCCATAATTCACTTACAACTTCTGTAAGAGTGCATGAATGCAATTTGCCCCTCGGACCAAGAAGGAGCCTACATGTTTTAGACACACAAAACTCCTGACCTACTACAAGTCAAGCAGCGAGTTACGAATCACCGACCGCCATCAAGCAGAAACAATTTCGAAGGATGCTCCAACTGGTTTGAGCTGCAAAAGAGGACGACCTCTATGAATTTCACGGCTTTGAACGATCCGCCACCCACCAAGTGCGACGAATCTGACAGCAAAGCCCCCAATCCATACAGGTCTGAGATGGCCTGAAAGATGAAGCCAAATGGAAGGCAAACGATCATCTCCTTCCCCGCCGCGTGGGCCTTATGCAGAGAGTCTGGTCTTCAAATCGTCCGCAACTGCATCGATGAACTCTTCCGTGTTCAAGTACTGCTCCCTCGTGGTCTTCGGTCCGTGGACAAGGATCGCAAGATCCTTGGTGAACTTTCCCGCCTCCACGACGCCGACGCAAGCATGTTCCAGCTTCTCGGCAAACTCTCCCAATTTTGCGTTGTCGTCGAGGACAGCCCGGTGCGCAAGACCCCGGGTCCACGCGAAGATGGACGCAATGCTGTTGGTGCTGGTCTCCCCACCCTTCTGGTGAACCCTGTAGTGTCGGGTGACAGTTCCGTGGGCGGCCTCGGACTCGATGGTTTTACCGTCGGGAGCCATGAGCACGGACGTCATCAGACCCAGTGATCCGAATCCTTGGGCGAGCATGTCGCTCTGGACATCTCCGTCGTAGTTCTTGCAAGCCCACACGTATCCACCGTCGCTCTTAATGGCGTACGCCACCATATCATCGATGAGGCGGTGCTCGTACCAGATGCCGGCTTCCTTGAACTTACTCTCGTACTCGGCCTCAAAGACTTCTTGGAAAATGTCCTTGAATCTGCCATCGTACTTCTTCAAAATTGTGTTCTTGGTGCTGAGGTACAAAGGCCAGCCCTTGGAGAGAGCCATGGTCATCGAAGACTTGGCGAAGGCGCGGATCGACTCATCGGTGTTGTACATGGCGATAGCCACACCACCCTCACCCTCGAAATCATAGACATCTAGCTCGGTCGGCGAGGCGCCCCCTTCGGGAACGAAAACCAATTTCAGCTTTCCGGGTCCCTTGATCACGGTATCCGTGGCGCGGTACTGATCCCCAAAAGCGTGCCTTCCAATGCAGATCGGGGTGTTCCAGCCGGAGACCAAGCGGGGGATGTTCTTGCACACAATTGGCTCGCGGAAAACAGTTCCATTCAAAATGTTTCGAATGGTTCCATTGGGACTCTTCCACATAGCCTTGAGCCCGAACTCCTTGACGCGACCCTCGTCGGGGGTGATGGTGGCGCACTTGACGGCGACGTTGTACTTGAGAGTGGCTTCGGCGCTGTCGACGGTCACCTGGTCGTCGGTGGCATCGCGGTGCTCGATGCTGAGATCGAAGTACTTCAGGTCGATGTCCAGAAAGGGGAAGATCAGCTTGTCCTTGATCATCTGCCAGATGATTCTGGTCATCTCGTCGCCGTCCATCTCCACGATGGGGTTCTCGACTTTGATCTTCTCGAAAGCCATGATCGCGGACGAGAGAGCGCGACTGGAGCCGCAGCAGGCCGCCGAGGTGCGCAGACGGGCCGAGGAGAAGAGGTGCAGAGAACTCGCGGATTTGGCAGAAGCTCTGCGGGGACGACTGCCACTAGAAGTCGGATACCGCGAATGCTCTCCAAGAGCGGCCGAAACTCCACTTATCCTCGCAGCTCCTGCACAAGATGACGCGGAGAAGACGAGAGTCCTCGGCCCGGAACCAAGAGACGAAGCTCCTGCAGCGGACCAGGCGGCACGACCCCAACAGACCTTGCAACTTTGGAGAAGAAGCGACGAGGCCGACAGCTTCATTCTCCTGGCAATGATACCGGAGCTGTAAACTTGGGTCCGGCTTTAAGATTATTGTTAGTGACCTTCTAGACCTCCGCCTCCCTCTCCCTCTGGGCGTCCAAAATGGTTCAGGTCACACTCTTCAGTTTCCCGAGGGGCCACACTCTTTTCCAGACTCTGAGCTCGCACTTCCTCGCGATCTGACCTGACGTGTGTTCTGACCCCTGGATCTTCTTTCCATCCTTCCATCCTTCCATCCTTGCTTCCTTTCCTTCATTCCTCGCCTCTTTCCACCAGCTGTCCTTCCCGTCCACCTTTCCATCATTCCCCCGCAGGAGATCAGGTGCCTCAAGCAGACGGGTAAGGCCATCATTTGCAGAGCCGCACATATTCCCCTCGAATGAATCTAAACAGTGGGTACGAGGTCGCCTACGTGACGTACAGTTGTCTACGCCATACCTACTTCGGGGGGCCTGCCCTGCGCTGGGGTGGGGGCTCGACTGTGTCAGCTTCTAGAATCTAGACTCGGCTCAACAACTGCGGCCCGTCGCCTGCGACGTAGTTGCCCTCTCGCCCCGCTAACCCGGTCGCCCAACCCGAGTTAGGTCTGTCGGAAATCCACGAACGTTGTTCCATGCTGCACACGCGTGAGAATCTGACCGCGCGTACTCGTCGTCGATTATTTCCTCCCACGTAATAATCTGCTTTGCTGCTCTGTCACGAGAAAGTTCATTTGAGTAGATTTTCCCCCATTCCGTAGGTCAAATATAGGGGGCACTAGAGCAGGAGTCGTTTCTTTTTCTGGCAAACAATTCGGAAAGGTCGGGTTTTCCGGGGGTTGTCTGTCGCGGGCTGTCGCTGTCCCGTCAGGATGGAAAGGCGGACCGTCGGTATCGTCACGAGGCGGAGGCCCCTTCTGACTTCACCGGCCGGGCGGTTGCGGTTGCTCTTTTGACCCGGTCTTGGAATGCCCTGTCTGTCGCTGCGCCGTCATAATCGAGTGCGACTCGCGGGTTTCTTGCAACCGTGGTTGGTCAGCTGAACCCGCACCCGCGCCGCCTCGGATGGGACCCGGAAGGCACTTTGTGTGCATGAAGCGGCAAGTTTGGAACGAAACCGAGAAAACCACTAGCCGGTTTCGTTAATCGGGCGGATTTCAAAGTACAGGGTTGTGGAAACCGGATTGGGAACGTGGGAGTTTGGTCCTTGCGGTACTCCGATGACGGACTGCCGGAATGGTTGACGGGGGAATCTGCGTTACCCGGCTGGGCTAAAAGTGCGTGGGGAAGGAAGAGAGCAGGCGCATTGGTCGGCAGATCGCTGCACTCTGCGGTAGATCGAAGACATGCTGGAGGAGAAGCTCAAGATTATCCAGGCCTCGGGCCCGATTCACCGATCGATCGGGCGAGCTGACTAGAAGCGCCAGGACCTGTGGAGAGGCTGGTTGTAGTCTCACAGAAGGCAGCACCGTGGAGAAGCGGCAGAGTGGATTGAATAGGGTTGGGGGTTTGAGGTCGGGGCGGGGTCGGGGTTGTGTTTCCCGGTGTAGCTCATGGCGAGGTCGATTGCGGGGACAGCAGTTTGGTGCTGTCCCTCCAAAATCGCTCCACAACCGTCTCTGTCGCGGCCCTCTTGCCCTCTTGTCTCTTCGCAGCTGTCATTGGGATCGAAGCAGGCACTGATATTTGTCGGCCATTTGCGTCCTGAAGCCCTACTTCCCGGTCCGAGTGTTGAACGCCCGAAGATTTGCCTGTCACACATTGTGGATTGTCAACAGCGGCAAGAGAAAGAAGGTATGTTAGTGTACGTTTGCAGTCGGAACAATTGCACCCGTTGGAACCAGTTTCAATTGGTGTTTTTTTGAAATAAATTGATTCTGAATTCCGTGCGATCTTTTGCGGGCATTGCCAAGGATGTCTTGGTGCATCAAAGGGATTGGGGCATGGGAATCTTAGAATCTTCTATTTGAATGTTTGAACAGGAAGTGTTTTGTGCTGCTTGTTCTGTACAGGTCTAGTAGGAACGACAAGTGAGACTGGCATCATTCAGAGTAGAAAAAATAAAATTGGAGATGGCACCAAGTTCCTTGCTGTTACAGAGGGAGTGTGTATTGTGGTTGCTGGTGCTTCGTATACGGCCTCTGTCATACAAAAAAGCCAACAGACAGCAATTGTGAGTTGGCTCCAGATATAGATGAAATCTACCTTATCCTTATGTTTCTCCAAACTTAAATTTTACTCTTCAGGTTGTATCTGTTGAATAAGCTTCATTTGATGACGAGTGGGGAAGAAACCCCTGAGTTTGCGGATTTCAATTTGAATTCAGGTTGCATCATCACCCGCCGTTCATCGGTTTTTTTCAAAGTTTGGAGACCTTTCATCATGGCAAGTTCCTGCCTTGTGGGCTGCACTCGTGATCAATGCGTTTTTGAGATCCATGCAAATGCGGTCATCATCATCGGACAGACCCCAGATAAAGTGGGAGGAGAAGAGTATCAAAGACTTTACAGTGGACCAAAGGATTGGAAAACTGGAGGATGATGTTCAGAGTGTGGCAGCAATTGCACGCATGTTATCACGGCACTTAGAGAAGCTCGGTGTGCGATTTCGGGTGACTAGAAGGACATTACGAGACCCAATACAAGAGGTAATGTTATACTTGACTACTGTATGTTACCTATCAAAGATTTCTAAGAAACGCACTCAAATGTACTCGTTTATTGCCTCAGGCATCGGTGGAGATGTTCGCCCTCAAGTTTCTGTGTTTGGAGTAAAACTTTTAAAAATTTTTTGTTTTCCTTGGAGACAGACTGCCATGCTAGCTTTGAAGACGTCGGAAGTTGTCAGTGCGTTAGCATCACGGGAGGATATGCTTGAGGCTGAGCTTCGTGAAACTCGAAAAGAGCTTCGTGAAACTCAGGAGATTCTCGTTTCCATGCAGGTTCGATTTCGCGTAACTCTCACTTCCGGTCCTTTTTTTTTGTAAACAATCGCTCTCGAAAAGAACAATTTGATTTCATCTTTTGCACAGAGAGATAAGAGCAATGAACCTCACCCAGGCACATGAAGCTGGTTTGACACATCCATCTAGATTTAGCGTGGACAGAAATGTTTTTTTCCGGAATATCCTCCACCCGCTGAACGCTCCCTCTTAACACATGTATTCAAGGAGGAAGTCTGAAACACTGTTTCTAAGGCCATTTGAACGGTCCATAGGAATTCCTTTTCGTTCGGATCGCTGTACGACACGCAGTGGACAATTGTTGTTTTAGTCCGAGCACATGCGCTGCAGATGTATGAGACCTCAGCAACACGAGTGATATAACGTGACAGTTTAGAAGTTCGATAAGAGTTAAACTTTTGTTCGTTCTAACTTTGGAAACCTTCTTGTATGTTGACCTGACGAACGCTTACCTAATTCATTTAGTGCCTTATTGAACCTTTCGTCTGCATCTGTATTTTGATATCACAACCGGATAGTTTTTTTTTTTGGGAGATGGGAAATACTGATTCTCGTTGTCAGTAGTATTTTACAGTTTTAGGTGCAGGATTCGTCTAACCCGACGCTTGTATGGAGTCTTCACATTTTGTTCTATATTGTACATTTTGATGCTCTCTTACAGCAGTTGTTTGCTGCCTTGACTGTTTGCAGGCGTCTCAAGCAAAGCAACTACAGCTTTTAGTTACCGCAATGACTCAGACTGTGAAATCTCAGAAAGCTCTTGAAGGAAAAATTTCCAGGGAGTCCACGAGAAGGCTAGCTGGAGCAACAAACAAACTGACGAGTACAGATATTGGTGCTCCCGTCGCTAAAAGGAAGAGCATTGCATCCGATGAAAGTAGGAAGTCTAATTTTGCTGATAGTTTGGGAGGATTAAGAAAGAGCGTGACGAAACAGAAGGAGACACCCATGAAGACTAGATTGTCCGGTGCACAAGTTGTCGACGCAGAAAAGGCCGAGCTAAAGAAAGAACTCATTGGGGACAGTAAGAATAGACACGTCGAGGCCCCCCCTGTCGAGCAGAAGCCTGCAAAGAAGAATGCCGCATTCAAGCCTGATACGAGCTTCACTAAAGAGGACTTTTGGGCTAATACGCCTTCTACATCAGCAGCAGATCTTACTGTTGAACATGAAGTCGTTGACTACATAACCAGCTCGGAGAGGACCACAGACGCTGTATCCAGATACTCGGACAGCCCCCAAACTAGTGGTAGGCTTGATTCATTTTCCAGTGGTCGAAACAATATCAATGGTTTCCAAGGTCCCATCAACCTGTCTACCCAGGATTATCACAACCCAGGAATCAGCTCAATACACCAATTAAGTGGAGATTACAGTTTCGGTAGTGGAAGACATAGGGATATGGGATTTGGTTTCAATGGGGATATTGGAATTGGCAAGGACAAGTGGTCCTCGTCTGAGACTTCTCATGAGGTAGGACTTGGTGGAAGTCTTCAGGGCGACGTCAACAGTTGGTCGAACATGAGTGCTGGAGATGTCTCTCCCGGTTCCGGTTCCACTTCAGGTAGTCCACGTCACAATAATTGGTCTAGTACAAGTGCTTGGGATGTTGCCTCTGGTTCCGGAAGCCCCCGACAGAATAGCTGGACAAACTCGAGTGCTTTGGATTGTTACTCTGGTTCGGGAAGTCCACGTATGGGAGAGGGGATCATAAATTTTTGTCAAGCAGGATTTGTGGATACTGACTTCATGAGAGACTTTAAAGACGGATATAATTCGAGCTGAAGGAAAGATGAGAGTTTAACTTATTGTGCATCATTACTTGCAACGGACGTGGAGTCTTTCAAGCTAGCTACACCTTCACCGGTGACGTGATTGTTGCTTCCTGATGTGATCATTACAATCATACACGAGCTTCAAAATCGGCCATTCCATGTAAGTCTTCCACGCTACTGTCATGTGATCTCTAGAGTTCATGCATGTGTCTTTCACAAGTGGTTAACAAGAACTAGTTGATTAAATAGGATTGTACAGTGATGAAATCCTTGAATCCTTATCTATCTGAAGACAGGTTTGTATCTTTTCCCAAACTGTGATGCGATGTCACCGTTTTGTGGTTTGTTAGTATTTTTATTAGTATGCAGCCCTTAAACAGTATCTCGTTCTCTTACGCTGTGAACTTCACTTGTGAGATCGCACTAAGTTTCCATATAGTTGTAGCTCGCGATTTTGAGGTCCTTCACCTTGAATTGATATCAAAGTATATCGAGCTCACGAGGATAAATAGGCTCATGGATATAGGATCACCTGGGACAGTGTGTGAGTGGCAGAGGTTATCTGCTGATGTGGGTAAGCCGTTAGTACTTTTGGTATTTGTAGTTACAAGTAATCCAAAGTAAAGTTTGGAGAGTTTCAGGTCTAGTATAGTCAATTTCAAATTTGGATTATGCAAGTAGACAGTATTTGAGCAGTCTTCGAGACTCTAATTCATGTGTTTTTTTTCGTGGTTTCAAGCGGCTATAAATCGCCAAAGTTTGGGGGATTCCGTGTTCATCCGTTGTGATAATGATTAGCAGGAATATGGCATGACTTCTTAGGCTTATCGGAGGTAGATGTGTTTGTTGTGCGTTTTTTTCATAGAGATTATTTTGGTCATTTTTATGAACTGCGCCTGTATGACATCGAGTTCCGCGACTGGTATTTCCTAAAGCTGACTGTAAGCTAATTTGTTTTCAAAGTCTGTGTAATGTGTATATTGACATAATTGTTTTTGACAATCCTACCAGGAGATTTATGGCTACCTATGATATACTTGATTTGAAATCTCACATAAGGTGGCATCAAATTGATCACAACTTGGAAGTTCAGACTCGGCCAGTTGGAACAAGCTCTTAATTTGGATAACGTTGCAGAGATTGGAAAATACGAGCATATTAAGCTTGAGTTTATGACCTGCATCCTATGTACTTGGTAGATGGTCGGGGTATTTTCTGCTTAACACAGAATAATTTCTATCTTTCACATCACTAGGTTTTTGTCACTTATTTCGCATCCAATGATAAGAGTCACTTATCGTCGAAGAAAAGATTGGTCCAAAAGTAAAGAGTAGAGATGGATGCACGTGTATGCGGAGGCGATAATTTTTCAGTTGAATGATACGTAAATGTTGTTTGGAGTGCATGATGGAATGACAGTAATTACAGCATATACATCACAGGCTTTTATTGGGACCGCAACCTTTTCGGAAAACTCTGCGAGTAGATTGGATTCCTCTCATGGCGTGACTCATTTTGTGTCATCGTTTGAAGCTGAGCGAGTTTATATCATAGATCTTACGAGTATGAACCTTTTGTATACTGTGAAGTCATAGTGCAATGCGTACTCTTGCAGGGAAAATCGGAAATATCTAGAAACTACGACTTCACTTACTATCACGTTCACCTACAACAACAGACTTTGGTCGAGTAACTGTGTATTTTATTATGGGCACATCAACTATACATTTTAGCATGTAGATTTTCAAAATATTTTCTGTTTTAGCATCTTTTACCTTTCTTAAACATATTGATTTAAGTGCAGTTAGATTGGGCTCAATAACGGAACGTCAAGTTTAACTTTCGAATACCTGAAGTCGGGACAGACCAATGTATACAGTAGACTGAGGACATGCGTGAATCAAGCTTTCGCTCTCAAAGTGTAGTGTACCCACAGAAATTCTAACAAGGCTGAGCTTGTGTCTGAACTAAGTTTTGTGTGTGTAGACGGTATTTGAATTGACCACTACGAAGATTGAAGGTGAGTTTTAATTTCGACAGTATTGATTACATCAATTTGTATTGATCATAATCGTAAAGAGTTAGTTCATGGTTTGTACATTCTTGATCCGACGAAGAGAATTAACGCGAAAATTTAAGGTGTGGGCAGATCCACGGAAATGGCCTACGTGGATAAATGAATTGAAGGATTTAGACAAATTTACTCTACGATATCTGAACTACCAGTTGACATTGTGAAGGCCATATTGAATGAGAGATCAGTGTGAATATGATATTACAGTTCCTATGAAAAATATCTTGATGAAATTTTACTTATTACATAAATATTTAGACAAAACAAAAATAATAATTTTATCTTACTAAGTTTTTAGTGCAATAATGCGACATATTGTTATGGACACAAAGTTGTAAGTCTACTTCATACTTTTAGTCATCATTTAACATGCGCATTATTGTATAAGTCACAGATATAATATGTATTAAATATCATCGTATAAAGAATATGAGAATGGTGTAAATCTCGTTCGAGAAGCTTACATCATAACTTAACGAACACAAAGATCACATCGGTTATAATGACCATTGTTATTTCGTCATGTAAAAGAAACACATATTGTGTAATTCATAATAGTTTCTAAAAAATCAACAGAGAACTTGTTGACTTATATAAGTAATCAACTATAAGTAAGTATTATTGTTTTATAACCTTCATGTTGAAAACTAATTCTTAAGTATTATTCATCAACATTTATTTTCCTAACGAATAAGTATGATTTAAAATTTTCTTTTGGTGAATATTTTATAAAACTCAAAAATCTTATGATTAGCTAGCAAATTGGTAATAAGAAAACATAATGATATATGATTAGCTAGCAAATTGGTAATAAGAAAACATAATGATATGTTTTTTTTTTTAATCATTGTACATATTTTTTACCAACCTTTATACATGGAATACATTATACATCTTGTCAACATGTTTCACATATATAAACGGTAAAAAAAACCAAGATGGATCCAAAGAATCAAAAGGCTGAAAAGCATAATACAAACAAAAACCATACAAATTGAGCTTTGGGAAAAAGATCCCAAATGTCAATTCCTAGCTAGTGCTAAGAGCACTAGACCGGTAACTAATAATGTTCCTAATATAACAACTTAAATAAAAAACAACTAATTGTAATAAAAAATAGAAATTCTCCACATCTATATTATGTCTTCGTACCTATAACAAGTAACAGATATATTCTCTTCATCCTCAATGTAAACACCGTTACATAATTTACAAATACTTTCTCTCTTATCAATATTAAACCAACATATTTTTTCAATTCCAAGCTTTTGAGATCCAGTTTTATCAATATTAAACCAACATATTTTTTCAATTCCAAGCCTTTGAGATCCAGTTTTATACATAGCAATAATATGACAGAGATTACTGCAAGTAGATTTTCCTGTTCATAATAAACAAACATACGATTCACATGAAGTTCATAAATCTGCATCTTGGTGTTGCGCTTGCTATGAATAATGTTCAAAAACTTCTACTTTAGACGTTTACGGAGTGCCATAGGTTGATGGTCCCAATCTCGTTTTGTCACATTCCACCTCAAAGACCAAGTTATCATATTCGCTAACCATACTTTGGCACCTAACATAGCAAATAGTTTGGCTCGGCGCAGTAGCCTGCAAATTTTCAGGTTCAACGAAATTTTTCAGACAAAATGCATTGATTTTTAAGTTTCAAGATTTGAGTGAAGAGAATTGATTCTTACTGGAGCTGTTTCTTTGAGCTCGGATGTACACTAGACCTAAAACTTTGTAGGAGCTTGAACTTGAGCAGACTTCACTGATCCTGCATAATTTCAGACTGAACGTAATTTTGAAGACTAAGATGAAACATTTTTGAGTTTTGAGTAATTGAAAGAGGAGGGTCAAATCTTGCAAGGCCATATCTTCGGAAGGAGTGTGAACGGGAAATGAAATTTCATAGTAGTGTGAAGTCAAGTTCAACTCTAAGCACTTTTGAAGTTTTAGGTCTAGTGCAAATCCAAGCTTGAAAAAACAGCTTCCGTAAGAATCAATTCTCTCCCCTCAAATTTTAAAACTCAAAACTCAAAAATCAATGCACTCTGTTTCTAGAACTCCGTAGAATCTGAAAATTTGTAAGCTACCGCGTCTTGATTAATTCCACACTGGAATTAAATGTTAGATCACGTTCACACTTCAATCCGCAGATACGGCCCTTGCAAGATTGGATCTTCCCCACTCAAAAGCTCAAAACTCAAAAATGTTTGAAGTTCATCCTCTGAATTGTGTTTAGTCTGATATTTTACAATCTTGTACACCCTGATAAATTTTAAGCTACTACAAAGTTGCAGATCTAGTGCACATCCGAGCTTGAAGAAACAACTCATGTAAGAATTAACTCTCCCTTCTTCAAATCTTGAAACTCAAAACTTAAAACTCAAAAATCAATGCACGTTGTCACTAAAACTCCGTTGAACTTGAAAATTTGCAAGCTAATGCGTCTTGTCAAAATTGTCACACTTCTACAAAATTTCAGACCTTGTTCACATTCCAACCCAAAGATATGGTACTTGCAAGATTTGGCTCTCGCCTCTCGAAAACTCAAAACCAAAAAATGTTTGAAATTTGTACTCGGCATTGCGTTCAGTATGAAATTTTGCAAGCATGTGAGTTCTGCTCAAGTCTTAGATATTACAAAATTTTAGGTCAAGTGCACAATCAAGTTAAAAGAAACAGCTCGCGTACGTGTCAACTCTACTCTTCTCAAATCTTGGAACTCAAAGGTCAAAATCCAAAAATCAATGCACTCTATTTTCAGATTTCTATTGAACTTGAAAATTTGCAAGCTAATGCGCTCTGTCTAAGTCCACGCTCTTACAGAAATTTAGACTCTATTCACATTGTAGCCCAAAGATAAGGTCCTTGCAAGACTCAAAACTCAAAAATGTCTGAAGTGTGTACATGGAATTGAATTCGGTCTCAAATCTTGCAGACATGTGAACCTTGCTCCAAATCAAATATTTCACAAAATTTAAGGTCTAGTGCACATCTGAGTTGGAAGAAACAGCTTCCGTAAGAATCGAGTCTACTCACCTCAAATCTTGAAACATATAGCTCAAATCTCAAAAATCAACACACTCTATCTCTAGAATTTTGTAGAAACTAAAAATTTGTAGCCCAATGCGCCTTGGCTATTTACACGCTTTTACAAAATTTAAGACCCCGTTCACACTTTAGCCCAAGAACACGGCTCATGCAATATTTCACACTTTCCTCTCAAAAACTCAAAACTCAAAAATGTTTGAATTTTGTCCTTGGAATTGTGTTTAGTCTGAAATTTTGCATGCTTGTACGACTTGGCCAATTCTAAGCTTCTATAAAGTTTTAGTTCCAATGCACATCCAAGTTTGAAGAAACAGCTCCCGTAAGAATTGACTCTCCTCTACTCAAATCTTGAAACTCAAAGTTCAAAATATAAAAATTAATGCACTCTATCTCCAGAACTTGAAATCCGTCAAACTTTAAAATTTTCAAGGTATTGCGTCCTTCCTAAGTACACGCTTCTACAAAATTTCACACCCCGTTCACATTCCAGCCCAAAGATAATATCATTGCAAGACTTGAACCTCCAATCTCAAAAACTCAAAACTCAAAACTCAAAAATGTCTTAATTTAGTCATTGAGAAGATGTTTAGTTTGAAATTTTGCAATCTTGTGTGCCATACCCAAGTCAAAACTTCCACAAAGTTTCAACACCTGTGCACATTTGAGCTTGAAGAAATAGCTCCCGTAAGAATCAACTCTCTCTCCTCAAATCTTGAAACTCAAAGCTATAAATTGAAAACTCAATAATCAATGCACTCGGTCCTTAGAATTTTGTTAAACCTGAAAATTTGCAAGCTTTTGCGCTGTGACTAACTTCATGCATTTACAAAACTTAGCTGACGTTTATACTCGAGCTCAAATATAAGGTCTTGCAAAATTTGGCTCTCCTCTCTCAAAAACTCAAAACTAAAAAATGTATGAAGTTCGTGTTCAGAATTGCATTCTGTCTGAAATTTTGCCTGTTTGTGCGTCTTGTCCAAGTCCAAGCTATGTGTGAAACATGTTTCACACATAGTTGAAGCATAGATTTCTTGAATCAATAAAAATTCTAATATCATACAAGTAATTAACTTCATCAACATATTTCACATCAAACATATACAAATCAATAAAGAATTAATCTCTTGAATCAATACAAATTTGATATCTTATAAGAAATAAATCATTTTTAAATATTTGGATGTAGTTTTATATCTAAAAATTCAACTATCTTTGATGAACATGTGGATAGTTTTTTTTTTCAATTTTGAGCAATCAATGAGGCTTTTGCTTATTGCAATCTTTTCTGTATATGCACTTCATGCTTCTTAAATGTATTTTGATTGATATTTTTTCTGTTTTTAAAAATAAAAATCATGTGCAATTGAACTAAAACATTAACATTAGTCATAGGATTAAAAAACACATATTTCTGTTGTGTTCATAAAAACATTATCTGCAAATGAAAAAAACGTTTTTTGTTATTAAGATAACATACATGCTTGTAATATGAATAATTTGTATTTCATTTCTTTCCCATTTGATCATCAGTTTAAATGTAATATATCATTAACCATTCTTATTTTTATTATGAAATAATTTTTTGTTTAAAATTTACGTAATTTTTATTCTAGTTAATGATTCACAAAAATTGAATCTAGAGAGAATGAAGCAAATTACTTCAGA